TTGGAGTTTCTGGACTGCCGGGCGGGAGGAGCTGGCACTTGTCCGTCTTTGCCAGGGGCAAGAAGACAAAGTCCAAAGTGAAGCTGGATGATCTACCCCAGGGCGTTTTGCCGCTGGATCCCCGTCCCGTGCAAGATGAGGGCCCGACCTATCCAACCGTGGTGCTGCAAGCGCGCCGCAACATGCAAAAATTCGACAACTGCGTGCTCTTGACGCGAGTCGGCGGTTTCTATGAGCTGTACTTTGAGCACGCCGAGGAGTTCGGCCCCCTCTTGAACCTCAAGGTTGCTCAGAAAAAGACGAGTGCTGGTCCGGTTCCCATGGTAAATTAGTTCTCCTCTCGTGTACCAGAAAAACGTGCGTTGTTAGTCTCGTGTTCTTTGGTTCTGATATGTGATGGTTACTAGGCCGGCTTTCCCTTCTTTCAGCTGGATCGGTTCCTCAAGATGCTGGTCCAGGATCTGAATCGCTATGTCGCCATTGCTGAGGAGTTTCCCAATAATGCGTCCGAGAAGGTCAAGTCCGGTGGCCTGTTGCATGATCGGAGAGTTGCTCGTGTCATCACGCCAGGAACCTTGATTGATGAGAACTTCATGGATCCCTATGCCAATAACTACGTGCTGGCTATCCATGCGACGACAGCCCAGTCCGGGGGAGGGGTAGACGAGACAGGAGCCCCAGACTCGTCCCATTCAGCCGCTGACCGGAGCCTGACTCCGGCAACTGGTGACTCTGCCGCACCACCACCGCTACCCCTGGGCCTCGCCTGGCTAGACCTGTCCACTGGCCAGTTCTACACGCAGGCCACCGATCTGTCGGCTCTATCTTCGATCTTGTCGAGGATATGCCCCAAAGAAGTCGTGCTTGACAGCGAGATCCAGGCCCAGACCGACCATGGCCTGTTACCCATTCTCGCAGAGGACCGTCATCTGGTCACGTACAGTCCCCTCGGCGACATCAGGCGTCTTTCTGATTGGACCTTTATGCTGGAGAGCGAAATTCCTCAGGCCACGCGCGATGCCTTCACCGAACGCGAGGTCACGGCCGGCAGCCTCCTGCTGCATTACGTCAAGGAGAGGCTGCTAGGGCTGAGCATGAAGCTGCAGCCGCCGACGCGACACGAGAACATGCAAATCATGAGCATCGACAAGAACAGCGTGCGCTCACTCGAGATTAAACAGACGATCCGGGACGGCAACTTTCGCGGCAGCCTCCTCCACGCCATCAGACGGACAGCTACCAAGAGCGGCGCCCGGCTCCTCAATGACTGGCTCAGCGCGCCGTCCACGTCGCTCGACACCATCAAGCTCAGGCAGGACCTGGTCGCCCGCTTCATCGAGGAGCCGGACCTGCGCGACGGCGTGGTCCTGCTGCTCCGCCGCAGCCACGACTCCCAGCGACTCGTGCAGAAGTTCGCTCTCGGCAGAGGCGACCCGGACGACCTGGTGGCCCTGGCGAACACGATCCATGCCACCAACAGTATACATCAGCTGTTGGCGGAAGCAGCCGACGAGACAACGTGCCTCGCGCACATGACGGCCCGCCTGAACCTCAAGGGGCCCCTGAGTCTCGCGCGCCGTATCAAGGATGCCATCGACGAGGAGGGCATCGTCCACCAGCATGAGATCGAGGCTAGCGAGGCAGGGCAGATGATGGCCCTCGCCCAGGAAATCGTCAGTAACGAAGGCACAGAAGACGATGCAGCTGCTCTCCCCAAGGGAGCCTCCGCCGCCGCGGCGAAGAAGAAGCGCCCCACCTCGGTCCGGGAGGCCTACGCCGACGACAACGAGACGTGGATCATGAAACCCGAAGCCAGCGCCGTCCTACGCCGGCTACACGCCGACCTAGCAGCCCTCCACGCTGAGAAGGAATCCCTCACGGAGACGCTCCGAGACCGCCACGGCGCCGCTTCCCTGACCCTTCGCTGGTCCCCGGCCCTCGGCCACTTCTGCCATATCAGGGGCAAGGACGCCGCCCGCGCCTCCACCAGCATCAGGGCCCTGAGTTCCAGCAAGTCGACGAGCTCCTTCCACGACCCGGAGTGGACGCAGCTCGGCCACCAGCTCGAGCACGCCCGGCACAGCATCCGCACCGAGGAGCAGCGCGTCTTCCACGCCCTCCGCGCCGCCGTCGTGCTCAACCTCGTCAAGCTGCGTCGCAACGCCGCCGTCCTCGACGAGCTCGACATCGCCACCTCCTTTGCCAAGCTCGCCGTCGAGCAGGGCCTCACCCGGCCCATTGTCAACAACTCCACCGGCCACACCATCATCGGCGGTCGGCATCCCACCGTCGAGGGCGGACTCCACGAGCAAGGGCGCACCTTTATCCGCAACGATTGCCTAGTAGGAGGCGGCTCCGGCTCCGGCTCCCAAGGGGCGAAGCTCTGGCTCATCACGGGGCCCAACATGGCAGGCAAAAGCACCTTTCTCCGCCAAAACGCCCTCATCACGATCCTCGCGCAGGTGGGCTGCTACGTGCCGGCCGATTACGCCGAGATAGGCGTCGTCGACGCCCTCTTCAGCCGCGTCGGGTCCGCGGACAACCTCTACCGGGACCAGAGCACCTTCATGGTGGAGATGATGGAGACGGCGCACATTTTGCGTAATGCGACGCCGCGGTCCTTTGTCATCATGGACGAAATTGGCCGCGGCACGACGCCCGAGGACGGCACAGCGGTCGCGTACGCCTGTCTGCATCATCTGGTGACCGTCAACCAGTGTCGGACGCTGTTCGCCACGCACTTCCACCGTGTTGCTGACTTGGCGGTGCGGGATGGATTGGGCGGTGGCGAGGGTGAGGGTGTGAGCGAACGGGTACGGGTAGAGATGTATTGTACGGATGTGGACGAGGATGAGGACGGCGGGTTCGTCTACATTCACAAGCTGGTCAAGGGCATCAACAGGCAGAGTCACGCACTCAAGGTGGCAAAATTGGCCAATCTGCCTGAAGCGGCTGTAAGCATTGCGAAAAAGGTTCTAGGTATTGAAAAAATCTAGGCTAAGTAAGGCGTGGTGGTCATCATGTTTGGCGGCATGGGGAACGGTGGAGAAAAGTCACTGTACGATAGGGCGGTGTGTTGTCAAAACCTGTACACTTTTGTATGTTAGCCATGATACCCACGTGGAGCTGAGGCTGAAAAGTAAAGATAACGATTGAAGTTGCTCTCTCATACGGAAATTGTGTGTGACATCAAGTAGATCAGGGTTAAAAAGCTCTTGAACATTTAAATAATCATAGGAAGCGAGGGGGAGGTTATAGAAAGAAGAAATAAGCAAGTACTAACCTTCGAGGGACGGAGAAGTGAATGCTTACGAGCATAGTCACATCACCAAGAGTCAAGAGCGAATCGTTTTTGCCGTCAAATGCGATGTGCTTGATTGACCGGCAACCCATCTATACAGCGATCAAGATCCACGTATCTTCGTAAACCCATTCGTAGCCCAGATAGTAGCCGTAACATCACCGATTTCCCGTCAAATTTAGTCGCTAGAAAGGATGTTAGCAATGGCAAACCGCGCAGAAGGGTTGGGTGAACATACAAGAGACCGCCGAAGCCGCCATCCTCATCGGACTCCTCCTCCTTCTCCTCCTCCTTCTCCTCGGCCTTGGTCTCGGCAGCGCCGCCGGAAGCAGCACCGGCAGCGGGAGCGGCAGCGGCGTAGGCGTCGGGGTTGGCGATACGGTCCTTGAGCTCCTCGATCTCGGGCCAGGAGATGTCGGTCTCGATGGCGACAGCGAGAACCTTCTTGTATCCGTTGAAGAAAGAGTGGATGACGGAGGGAAGGGTGGGGAAGTTGATGGCCAGGGAGACGGCGGCGATGGCAGTGACAGCGCCGGCGAAGGTCTTGAGGAGCTGGTCCTCGGAGATGTCGAGGACATCAGCGGGGAAGCAGTTGCCCTGGTCATAGACCTGGGCGATACCCATGCCGTAGGTGAAGGGGGAGATGTTCAGCATGTTGAGGAGGGTGGCCTCGGAGGGGCCGACCTTGGTGTTGGCCTCGACGAGCTTCAGGTCCGACACAATTTCAATGGTACCACGGGCAATCTTGGTGGGGACACCGAGAGCCTGGAAGAAAGAGGTCTTACCGGGCTCCATACCGGTGTTGCCAGCGGGAACCCAGACATCCGCGGGAGCGAGAGCACCGGCACGGGCAGGGGCGGCGACCTTGTTGGCGAGAATCTTGTCACGGACGTCCTTGAGCTCGCCGTTGGTGAAGACGAAACCGACGTTACCCTTGACGAAGGGAAGGAGACGCTCGTACTCGGGGGAGTCGGGGATGAAGGTCTTGAGGGCACGGCGAACCTAGATTTCAAACTTAGGTTAGCAAACGCGTTCTTCCAAGGTCGGCGATGCGCGATTGAGCTCCGCGTCGCGAAAAACGTACCATGGTGTTCTTTCCCATCAGGACGACACCCTCACCACGGAGGGACTGTCTGATCTCGTGCATCTGCTGAGAGCTGACATTGTCGACGGTGACGATGAAGATGGACTTGTACTCCTCGAGCAAGCCCTTGAGCTTGTCGAAGTAGCCGGCCTTGTTCGCAGTTTTGCCCCCCATATCTTCTTATTTACGAAGGCAGGTTGTTTAAGGGCAAAAGAAATTTTGGGTATTGGTTGGTGATGGGAATTTGGGTATCAAAAGTTGATGTTGTAAAAGGCAAAAAAAAGGCTGTCCCCAGAATTTGCGCTTTTTGCTTCACCAAACGAAATTTCGGTGTGTGTTGCGGCTGGGCGCCGCTGCCCCCATCAGGGCAACCGAGTGGGTCTAATCCCAAAGGAGGACAAGCGCGGGGCAGCCTGCAGGCAGATTGATGGCCCAAGCTTTGGAGAAAAAAGATACATGTTAGCTTGTACCGCTCTTTTTCCTCACAGAGATCTGGTGGTGGGGCATGTGCTCAGATGCAATGAGTCTGAAGTGAAAGTTCTACGTCCCTTGCAGGCGCAACTTCAACTCATGCCAATTGAGCGAGGACAACTTTGAATAAGTCGCATTTTCACGATGAAGGCTCCCTACAACTGCCTCGAGCCTGCGGGTAATGTGATCTTTGCTGCCAGGGGTGGAAAGATTCACTCTTTCAGCCTGGAAGACGGCGCTCACATCTCAACATGGAAGCATCCCGACGTCGAAAAGGCTGCTGCTGCTGCTGCGTCAGCTGCTGCGACGAAAGTTGAGATTGAAGTGAGCTCTGGTGTTCCCACGCCTGCAACCCCAGCCAACGAGGAGGATGGACCGCCCGCCAAACGTCAGAGAGTCGATAGCGGCGAGGAGGGGAAGGCGGAAGAGGCCCAGGAAGAAGTCAAGGATACCGATGCCATGGTTGTCGACAGCGAACCTCAGAAGGCCGAAGAGCAGAAAAGAGATAGGAGAAAGGGAACCAAGAACATGAGGCGCAACAACCGGGATGGCCAGCAAAACAACCGCGGCACAGCTTTTGCGAGAGTCCCGGACTACCCTGTCATCACTATCATGACGACCACCAGCAACGGAAGTCACCTATTGGCCATCTCGGGTCATGACAAGTCTCTTTGGGTCTTTGAGCACGACGGCAAGGGAAACTTGAAGGAGTTGAGCCAGAGGTACGTTGTCCGACTTACACCGTCATGTACATTAGCCTTAACACATAACTCGAAAGACAAATGCCTAAACGTCCCTGTTCGGTCCTCATCTGCCCAGACAGCGAAACCATCTTGAGCGCAGACAAATTCGGAGACGTCTACTCCCTGCCGCTAATCCCCTCGGAAGCATCGCAATCCTCCGACGCCGCGGCTCAGCCCGAGGCTGCCTCCGAAACGGCCCCCGCGGTTGCCAAACCATTCACGCCGGAAGCCAACTCCTTCACAGTGCACTCCAAGAGCAATCTCCGCGCTCTCCAGAGCCAGCTGCGCGAGCAGCAAAAGTCGAAGCGCGACGTCACAAAGGAACAGCCGGCGTTCGAGCACACGCTCCAGATCGGCCACGTCTCCATGCTCACTGCGCTGACGCTTGCGTCAAAGGGGTCCCGCCGGTACATCATCACGGCCGACCGCGACGAGCACATCCGTGTCTCGCGCTTCATGCCGCACGCCCACGTCATCGAGGGCTTCTGCCTCGGTCACGCCAACTTCATCAGTGCGCTTACGCTGCCGAGTCAGGATGTCTTGGTCTCGGGAGGCGGAGACAGCGAGCTATTCGCCTGGGACTGGGAGAACGGCAAGGTCCTTTCCAAATTCGATATCCTGGGGCAAGTTCAGCAAATCGACAAGGAGACTACAAAGGTCGCTGTCGCCCAGCTGCTTTCGGCCAATGTCACGGAGAATGGCTTACAGGTGCCTGTCGTCCTGGTAGTATGCGAAAGGTTCGTCACTCTTATCTCTAACACCAAATCCATGATAGCTAAGTCGATAATCAGCGTATCTGCCATCCTCGTCCTTCGTTTGGCGGAAGACAACACCCTTTCACACGTACAGACCATCTCGCTCCCTGGAAACCCGCTTCACGTAGCACCTATTGCTACCGAGAACTCAATGACGAGCATATTGGTGACCATTGACCCGTCAGAGAACGACGCCGCACTCAACGGTATCGTCTCTTTTAGATGGACCGGCGCCGCCTTCTCGTCCCAGGATCTTGGAATCCAGGACGCTAGCGTGAGTGAGGCTGAGTTCGATATGTCTCACGAGCAGGTGAGGAAATTGCTTTACAATACCGAGGACTTGCGCAAGCGAGGCGATGATGAGCATGGCGAGGAGGGAGAAGGCGAGGAACAAGCGCAGGCTGAAGGCGAGCCTGTGTCAAAAGAATAGACATGGGAAGAACTTGCGTCAAAATTTACGTTGCGGGGGGCTGCATATATCAGGCGGGCAAAAGCAAATCAGGCACGTTTATCATCAATTCGATTCAGCGAATTATCCTCTCTATGACCGTGAACGCCTTCCTACCAAGTCTCGAATGTCCGTCGAGCAAAAGAAGCCAAGTGATGTTTTGAGAATAAGCACGCGCTGGACCAGATTTCCCTGTTAATGTGTGCTGGTCCACTTGAATCCAGCCTCCATTCTCGACGAACCCGACACGGGCGTCTAGGCGAGACGTCGTGGCTGGTTGATTTCCACCATCTGAGAACGGTCTCCCAACGGCGAGCCCCTTCACCGTTTTCATGCAACCGTGTCCGTTCATTCGTGACTGGAGAAAATATGCAATTTCGTTCTGTCGAACGGGTTTGTGAAAAGAAATCTCGCCCACGCCCCCTTCCCCCCACCACGCCAGAGATGCTCGTAATACCAATACCATCGGAACATGACGTCATTTACTGAGAAGCGCACTGCACGCGCTCGGCACCGGGGTGGCCGTCCTCGTCGTCCTCGTCCATACCGCCAGCACCTCCGAAGACTCTAGCCTGGGAGGAGTTGTCGAGATCCTCGAGGTCGGCGGGCTCGGTCATAGCCTCAGGGGGAGGAACGGTTTGCAGCGAAGGGGCGGGAAGCAACTTCTGGAGAGCCTCGAAGGCCGCGGGGTCCTCTGTCCAGCCCTTCTCAGGAAACTTGACGTTGAACTGGATGTAAAGGTTGCCGAAGTCGTGGTGTCTAGGAGAAGGCATACCCTGGCCGCGAACCATCTTGACAGCGTCTGTGACGTGTTAGTAACTACGAACATGAAAGGCAGCACGGAATTTGACATACCAGGTGCAATGGCTTCACCAGGAAGGATCTCGATGCTGAGCCACCTGTCGTCGAGGTGCTCAATGTAGATAGTTCCACCGGCCAGCGCAGTCACCAGCTCAATCTCACACTGGTACAGAAGGTCGTCCTCCTTGCGAGTGAAGCGGTTGTGGGGCTTCTGCTCGATCTCGAAAACAACGTCACCAGCCTGGATACCAGGGGCCTGGTCACCCTCACCGCGGAACTCAACCTTGGTGCCACTCCTGACACCACGGTCGACGTGGACGTGGAGAACCTTGCGATCGACAATGGTCTTCTTTCCGTTGCACTGCTTGCAGCGATCCTTGTCCTTGATCGTCTCGCCCTCTCCGTTACAGTCAGGGCAGACGGTCTGGAAACGCTGGATCATAGGACCCATTTGTCTCATCATGGTCTTCATGCCGTGACCATCACAGCCAGCGCAGCGCTTGACAGCACCCTCCTTGCCGCCACGGCCCTCGCACTTGGAGCAGATGACGGACCGCTGGAGAGCCAGCTTGGAGATCTTTCCGCGGTAGACATCCTCAAGGGAGACCTTGTGAGTGTGGTGAATCGTGCGAGCCTTGGGGGGTCCGCGGTTAGGCATGCCGCCGCCACCGAACATGCCTCCAAGGCCGCCGCCGAAGCCGCCACCGGAACCGAAGAACTGAGCAAACAGATCCTCAGCAGCCATGCCGCCACCACCGCCGGCACCGCCTTCGAGACCAGCCTCGCCATATTGGTCGTAGACAGTACGCTTCTGGGAATCGGAAAGAATTTCGTAGGCGTGGGAAATCTCCTTGAACTTCTCCTCAGCATCGGGGTTGTGGGCGTTCTTGTCTGTGGAGGTCTTGTCAGCCGGCCCGTGAGGATGCGGCGGGTTTATTGGTGCTTACCAGGGTGGTACTTCAGGGCATTTGTCTTGTACGCCTTCTTCAGCTCCTGTTCGGTCGCCGTCGGCGCAACCTGTTTCAATGTTAATGATCTGTCCCAGCTCTTTGGAGGCACTTCCGTGTTCAACGTACGCCGAGGGTTTCGTAGAGCTTCGTTTCTTTGACCATCGTGCTGGTTGGTACAGTAATCCTTATCTAAGGCTTGACGATAACCGGAGTTCTGAATAGGAATCTATGGAGGGGCCTAGGTGACCAAAAGTCAGCTGAATGAATCGAAAATGGTTCGCCAGGTTTGCAGTGTCGTCTTGCGCATTCCCGCTTTTGTGATGCGAACAAGACAGGGTCGAAGCAGAGAAAACCATCGTTTTTTGGCGGCTTCGGGGTAGAGCCGTCTCAGCAGGAGAAAGAGGTAAAGCGGATTTAGTTTGGCGGGTAAAAACATAACTCCGATTCGCTTTGCGCTGCAGGAAACACCGAGAGGTACTCACTTTCTGAAAGAAGCCGAGAATGGCGATTGCGCAACTGGGTATCTGATGTAAAACTAGAAAGAGGGAGATAGTTGCGGGGGAAAGTAGGAAAAAATTGAGAGGAGATCTGTAGCCGGGCTGGCGAGGAAGTTATTGATGGGTGAGGTTCCTGGCGGGGAGGAGTACGGTGGAAATGTACCTTGGCTGAATGGACCGAAGTGCGCTAGTGACGGGACACTGGGACACTGGATTTTTCACAATAAAGGGAGAAGCAGGCTGCAAAGGCGGGTCGCCTTGCGCATGTCCCGCGCCCAAATGGCCCCAAATTGAAATCGATGGAAGAACATGGAATTCTTTCCAGCCACTGTGGCGGTGCTGATGATGCAATACCTGCAGCCTCTCCGTCCTCTCCGTCCATAGGTACCTGGTCCGAGGGGTCTTTGACGGTCCTTCGACTCCTACCTGGAGGACCAGCAGGACCCTGATCGCCCCAGAAATAACTCTTTGTCCGCCTTCCAGGGGTCTCTGATAACAATCTGTGCCATCTCTCAGCCTGGTTTCCCTTCCCCAACCAGCCTCGAAGCCTATTCTTATCCCACGCATCCGACATATCGCAGAAGTAGCCCGTTAACAATTTCCGACAATCTGGTCCCCACCACCCGACGGGAATCTTAGCTAAGCGGGGCAAAAGGTAGAGGTGGATTTCTCATCCGTCATCGTCATTCTGCACTGCGCAAGAACGGCGGACCAGTCTCCATAGGAGTATCAGTCACCGTGGGCGACTGCCTGCTCGGTGGATAGCTCAGCCTCCAGCAAACAGACATGCTCGCTTACACCAGTCTCTAGCTGAGTGCGAGACAACCTCCTTGTCGTACTGTCACATCAGCGTTCCGAGGCCGGCACTCACCCTACTAATTGCTCATCAAACAAATATGCCTGGTTGTAAGTATTCATGTTTCAACAGTTCGTTGAACGTGTGGCAACACAATATTAACTGTAAACCTCATACCTAATACTGGCAAAAAACCCCCACGACTTCGGCCGATGGCATCAGACTACGCTCATCTTTAAGTCATGCGTAGTCGCACTCTATTGTGTCGCATCGTCTCATATGGGCCGTAAAATATTTGTTGAGGTTCCCGGCCTTCCAGAACGTTGACCCGGTTGCGGGTGTGTTCAGGTCATCCTCCTCATCCTGCAGATGTCCGTGATTTCGGACCTTTGGTACCCAATGCACCTCTGGTCGTGCTCGGACAGTGTCGTCCTAGGAACGGTACACTTCTTGCTCCTTTGAAACTCGGCCCTGAATAAGCTCAGTATCTCTAAGAAAGATAATCAGCACTCTTGGGCATACCGATACTCGGTTCTCTTACCACAGTATAAATTCCTCCACTTCTCATCGATGGAAATCAGCTGGCATAGACACCAGCAGAAGCTGGCGTCTTAGCCTCACGGGTTTCGATACTTGGCCAAGGTATTCCAGAACCGTCGCTGCCAACAGGGCAAACCGATTTCAAGAGTTACACCGGCTTACTTCCCCTGCAGTGGGTCACATTGAATGAAAGAAAGTTCGCGCGATTCCTCGACGTATTGTTCACCTTCTAAATGCTTGACTACTCTAGGCTTCAAAGGCTGCCAAAGTATGATCAACAATTGCATTAGGGTCAACAGCACTGCAGGACATTATGATGATCAGCTCATACAATAACCAGCAACCGTCAAAATGCATATGATAGGCCGATCTGTAAGGTAGGTATGCGATCAAATTATTACTAGAAGCTGGTGGGGGAGATATGAGCATCTCCGTCGTCCGGGCCTACGACCAGAATCCTCCAATCAGACAAAAATGATTTGAATGTCACTGATATCGGTAGTAGGCGCGGATCTCAATGGACACCCCGCGCGGGCTGAAAGCTAGAGCCAATGCCGGCCCCAAAGCAACGAAACCCACCGTTAACTGGTTTCGCAGACTGAGTTGAGCCATGTTCTTACGGCATGTACAAAGACTGACTTCTCAAGTCAGCGAGTGGAACAACACCTGAGTCGATGGTTTTTAGATTGATTTTGCAATACCTTATCTCTGACCAAAAAAACAGCATAAATCTTGCACTGGTTGGAGGAAGTTTCGCCTCCACAGTCTGGTAGCTGCAAAGGCTGCCAATCCCCTCGGAGAAGCATCATCTCAGTTCGCGTGTTGGTGACGGCATTGGCCCGTTTGGGCATGCAAGGTTGAGCCGCTCAGAGTCTAGCCTCGAGTGTGGCACAACTTGAGTTTACTTCTTCTGCTCCTGACTTTTTGTATCGAATCTGAATATTTCAGCTCGGCCTCCCTTGTTTTATCTGAGAGGAGACTCTGTTAGGTTCTGTTCTTCTCACGTATATGTAATTACGGTTCACTTTAGTTAGCACATCATCTCATAAATTGCGAAGATGGATACGACTGTTGACTTCAGCCCCTACCGCGCCGATGGCAAGCTTGTACGTCATTGCTACCATTAGAAGTTCATGCATGGTGTACTAAGTATCGTGGCCAGTATGGCTTCGTCTGCGTTGTCACAGGAGCCGCTCAGCCTGTTGGACGGGCTATCATCGAGGAGCTGGCAGGTAGGAGTTTGTTCGCTACCTCGAAAAGGCGTCACTAATACATAGACAGCTCATGGGGCCGCTTCTATATATGGTAAGATGACAACCAAAATCTTGAACGAAACCGAGGACAGAAAATGAATGACACGGTCCAGCATGCGACAAGACGGCCAGTGATGAGACGTTCAAGCCTCTCGTCACCAAGGTGCACCAAGAGCACCCCAACACCAAGATTATTCCCTATCCATTCAACGTTGCCAAAGAAGAAGAGACTCTGGTTCTCATTGACGAGCTTCTCAATGCCTTTGGGCGCCTCGACATTTGGGTGTCATCCGCAGGCCTGCTCGGGCCCCCGTCCATCAACGAAACGACACCAGCCGACCTCCAGCGGTGTTTCGAGGCACATTCCATGGCGCCCTTCTTCGCGCTCAAGTATGCGCCTCCCGCCATGGCCAAACTGACGGAGAAGCAATCGTACCCGAACGCGGCGCCAAAGAGCCAAAAGTACGGCAGCATCATCGTCATCAGCAGCGTGGCATCGACGTATGGCGGGTGCTGGGGGCCGTGCTACACGATGGCGGCCCACGCCGCGCTTGGTGTCGTGAAAGCCGGCGTTGCTGTGCTCAAAGGTTCGGGGGTGAGGATCAACTGCATTTCTCCGGGCCAGATCGACGTTGGCCTAGATTTGAACGGGGTGAGAGTGCTCTGCTTCCCCAAGCTGAGCAGAACGGTACTGATCAGTGTTGCCGTACAGGTCGATATGAAGGGAATGAACTCCCAGTTCCCGCCTGCGGTCTTGCAAGGAAAGGAAGTAAGTCGAAAACCCCACAAAAACAAGGGCGAAGAAGGGAAGGTTAGGCCCGACGGATCTATAAACTGACACTCCTCATCCAAAGGCATCGGAAGCAAGCGTGGGCCTCGAGCGACCAGGTAACCCTCAAGAAGTAGCTCGAGTAGCCGGATTCCTAGCTTCGGGCTTCAGCTCCTATATCACGGGAGCAAACCTGGTGGTCGACGGCGGCTCTTCGTAAGTGTATCCTGTCAAGGCACATCTCGTGACCCCATAACCAAGGCATTAGCTCACGGATATCGATTACCTAGTGCCATGAACCCGCTTACGATACCCCTCGGCAAGGCGTAAGTTGGCGTTGAAGGTAGGTAATCAGCTAAGGATAGACTGCGGGGTTGTCCAGTGGTTGCAGAACGGCGAGGCGTACATGCTAAGCCATGGTCATATGGGGGGGGGGGGGGATGTCCGTCCAATCCGGGGGTCTAATGTCATGAGTGTAAGCAGCCCAACTAGGCAGGAAGTTTGGAGGCGGATACGGACGTCTGCGACGGTTGGGAGAGGACGGGAGGGTTCATGGCAAGTGCGGGTTTTCGGTTCCAAAACTGATAGCAAAAAGATTACTTTGAGGAGACGCAAACGGAATTCGGAGACGGCCGGGGGGCGCTTTTGGCACCCGGACCCCCCATAAATGGAGCATGCCAGTAGCTCTCACAGAGGGCGTTCCCACCGTAGAGACCGCCGAGAACAAACTAATAGCAGCAGCCCGTGTACCCATCATCCAAACTACACACATAGGATCATAGATTCGTCTCATACATCACGTCCGTTTCCTCATCTCTCAACCTCATTATATCACTTCCTTCCCCACACATATCTTTGCTCTCACTTAAGATCAATATGGGCTTCACACCAGAGGTTTTCGATATCGCCAATGAGTCTCAGACGGCCGAGACAGCCAAAAAGTACGGACTTACTCCAGCCGAGGTGACTGAGCTTCACCAAAAGGCAACGGCAGCAAAGGCGACGGCGTACTGCCCTTACAGTCAGTTCCGCGTAGGAGCCACACTATTGTCTAAAGATGGACAGTACACATCTGGAGCAAACGTTGAGAATGCCTCTTATCCGGTTGGCACGTGTGCCGAACGAGTAGCCTTTGGCAAGGCCATCACAGAGGGCATCCGGGGTTTCAAAGCTGTCGCCGTAGCCACCGATATTGAGGCTCCGTGTAGCCCGTGTGGCATGTGCCGGCAGTTGTAGGTCAACCTCTTGAAGATACCCTAGTCCCGCAGCCTTCGGATACATATCATGAACCATCAAGGCGACCCTTGACTGACATTTCTTTTGTTAGCATCCGTGAGTTCGTGGACCTGGAAACGCCCATCCTCATGTTCAACAAGGACGGAAAGTATGCAGTCATGCGACTGGAAGCCGTAAGTTCACAAAACCCAAGTCATTGAGCCGAACTCTTGGGCTGATCATCGTGAATAGCTTCTCCCGCTGTCGTTTGGCCCTGAGTACCTCCCACCACCAGACGTTCTGGAGAGGGCCCGGGCCGGCGGAAAATAGGCCGTTGAACGGCCCGTCGTCGTGCTATACAAGTAGGTGAGAACCTACGAGCTCATGCGCTCATCAGCGATAAGTATGTGGAAAGAGCTTTTTGCTGTAGGAACGAAACGTCCACACGGCCCCTCGTGGTACTGATGGGGATCAGATCATTGGCGCAAGCTGGTATGGGGTGATTTGGCGTTGAGATTGGGTAAGGAAAGGGAAAGCATGCTTGGCCGGGGTGATGAGGAGTGAGCTGCCCGAGTCAATCGACTTGATGCAGATGGGCAGTCGATTGAAATTCGAACCCATACATGTCTTGAGTAGGATATTGCAATAGTTTAGGACCGATGGCTACGGTCTTCAGTCATCCAATCTACAAACAGATATGTCACTCAACATGTGCCTATAGCTTGTCGTGAATTTAGGACACATATTCCCCCAAGCAAAAGTTCCGAAATACGATTTGCCTAACCCACGCTAGGAAATTAGTTCTTAGCTTTTGGGTGTTGAAAGATGGGTCTCATTACCAAGTGCTTGGTGTCTCGAGTTATTATATAGACTCGTCCGTTGAGTATCTGGGAGCCAGGCATCACGAGCGAGTAGCTTGGGAGTTAGATATCCGGAATAAGGAGAGGAGCCGGCAGGATACCCCTTGAGTATCACAGGCGTGAGTGGGAACCTCTTCTGTCAGTTTGGTCTCCTACTATTTGATCATTTGAAGACATTGACTGCATGTTGACCAATGTTCGGCGGTATTGTGCATTGCATAGTGCGCAACATCTAGCAAATATCAAGCAATGTCCGGACGTCTTGCGGATTCAACAAGACTTTACGACGGGTGCAAGCCAACGATGACTGCGAACACTCTGGCCCAAATATTCATAGCAGACATGTCCTATCAACAGATCCGGCATTGCACCACTTTGGAACCCCACGGATATGAATAGCGTCTCTACCTGGCAGTTTACGGTGGATGATGTGCTCTCCTTGAACAGACTTTCATTTTACAGTCCCTCTTTTTATTTCTTTTTGGCACCAATAAATAGCAGCCATCGCCATGTATCTGCCAAGTGTATGGCAACAAGAGTCTGTTTCTTTCAACGGGCGAGATGCTTGAATCACCTTTCAAGACCTTCAAAGAACTATGCTTTGTACATGATCTACCGCCGTGTGGTTGGCAGCGCCTACTCTTACCGCCTTCGCAATGAGACTCCTCAGGTATGCAACTTGAGGAGATCGCGCTTCTAGAAACGCACATCTTAATCAAGGCCGAAAGAAAGCATCGTCAGAACTTGTCCAAACATGATTGCTGATTTGAAGGTGCCAATTGCACAACCCGGAGATGTACTGCCAAAGCAGCCCCGTATAAGTGGACAGGGGCAGTTTCCCCATCTCACGCCCCCTTGGCAAGGGCCTGGTTATTCGTTTAGTTGCATACACTCAATAGTTTCAATGCAGGTTTCAATCCTGCTTCCTTGCAACCCTAACGAACTGCCCAAAACGAAACGAAACAGAAAGGGGAGGGGGGTTCCCAGGTGGTCCCCTCCCCGACACCTCAGACGGTCCTTTGACAGGACGGAGGAGAAAGGGAGGAAGGGAAAGGCCGGAAGGGCCAGGGCAAGGAGGGGAGGGGAGGGAGATTCTGCTGTAAGTCAGCCGCGGCGGATGAAAAAAAATTATCCCCCGGGCATGAAACTTTTCTTCCCCTCAACCAAGGTCTATCCCGCACACAACTCGAAACCCTCATCGGCCGGGCCACAAAAAATTGTCGTCTGCGCGCCGATGCACTGCACCGGTGTCTCCGGGTTGTTCAACGAAAAAAATATCATGTTCGCCATGTCGAGTGTATCACCAAGTCTGAAGGGCAATATGAAAAGGTATTGATCTTCTTAGTTTGTGGTAAGCGACACTGAGTCTCGACGAGAATGACTTTGGTGGTGACGGGGTCTTGGTGTGTTTGGCGGGGTAAAGACCGATGTTCCGCAAACGCAGCAAATCCCCCACCAAAATTTTGGCAGCACTGACATTCAGGTTCTCTCGCTGAGGTGAAGGGGGAGGAAGGGTTGTTGAGCTCTGGCCTGAGGATGAAGCCTAAGAATTGCCTCTGCCTCAGGCGCTGAGCACGGACCGACTGGTGCGGAACCTACGCCCTCTATAGGGGGCCAAATTTGCTCTTGCTTTCGCCTTCGGGCATTTGGTCAATTTGAAACGATACAGAGAAGATGTAAGTTTATTCTGAAAGACCCGGGTTCGAATCGTGCAACAGTTACTAACCTCCCTCGCAGTAGCATGGCCCCTGCACTAAGGATGACACGCTCAATCAAAGAGAAGCTACCAATTTTTTTGAACTTTTTTTTCTTAACTGGTTCGATATAACGTAAGGCGATTGATCGTGATTTTTTGGTAGAATTTTAAAACTGTGTTACTGCAGCACAAAATTCGGTCTAAGGGAACCTGAAGAAGAAAATGTTGTCGCATCGTCCATGAGCCCCACAACTGCACGCTCAGGCTCCGACTGGGCTATGTCGAGCCACGAACGTTGAGAGCCTTTACCCAAGCTGGGATGCGACCAGAGAGACATCGAATTTACGGCCTGCCCACGTGGCGCAGCCCAACCTCGTTTGATGGGCGGCGGTTTCTTCCAAGTGCCTTGACAACAGGACCCAGCTAGGCCTTGCTCAACGGCCCCATTCACTGAACGCACTGCGTGTTAGTTAGTGTCTGAATGGACTCCAGCCACTGGCAAGCCTGTATGGTGGAACATCCGAGGGCGATGCTCCATGTCGTGGCAGCAAGTCGCCCTGCCATTCCCAAGTATCCAGCCTCGTGCATACTCTCCCCCGCTTCCTTCGTTGGAACCCTGGTGGTATACTGCCTTGCGATCAGAGTGTCAAGAGGGGGGTTTGGGGCATTTCGCCGTAACGTTCTGCTACGACGTATGCTCAGACACAATCACTTTGAACAAGAGAGACACAGAGAGTATTTTTAAGAGAAGATTCATCGTGACGTGGCCCCTACGTACAGAGAGACTAGGAAACCGAAAATCAAAAACTAGAACCCTTGCCAATGATTCTTTTAGGTACCAGTCCGCCGCACCTTCGTGGTATTAAGGTGCCAAAAGACTCGTAAGCCGTTCCGCATGCAAGCCAGTTTTCAATTCCACCCATGAGTCGGGGCGCGTCCAGCAGTCAACCAAGAAGATGGTCAGCTGGCCACGCCCTGTGACTCGCCAGGTAGCCTTCCGCGATCTATCAACAAACAAGTCCTGATGAATCTCGAGTAAAATCCACCCTCAAGCGTCAGTGCCAGATCCGGTGCGTGATCGATCTCGGCAGACAACAGGGCCTGTTCCGTTCCAAAGAGAAAGTATGCGTGTATCCGTGAATTCGTTACTTAGATGAGGTCGGCAACGTTCATGGGCATCTCCTCAATCTGGGTGCTGTAGAACTGCTCAATCTCTCTCATCATGCGGACGTCCTCGGCGGTAACGAAGTTGATGGCAACACCCTTACGTCCGAAACGACCACCACGACCGATGCGGTGGATGTAGTTCTCGCGGTTGGCGGGAAGGTCGTAGTTGATGACCAGGGAAACCTGCTGGACATCGATACCACGGGCCAGAAGGTCAGTGGCGATCAGGACACGGGAAGATCCGGAACGGAACTCCTTCATAATCAGGTCACGCTGAGCCTGGTCCATGTCACCGTGCATGGCGGAGACAGTGAAGTCACGGGCAGTGAGCTTGTCGGTGAGCCAGTCGACCTTTCTGCGGGTGTTGCAGAAGATGACGGCCTGGGTGATGGTGACGGTCTCGTACAAGTCGGAGAGGGTGTCGAGCTTCCACTCCTCCTTCTCAACGGCAATGTAGAACTGCTTGATACCCTCAAGGGTAAGCTCGTCCTTCTTGACGAGAATGCGGACGGGGTCGCGCATGAACTTGGTGGTGACCTCAAGGACGTCCTGGGGCATGGTGGCGGACAGAAGGACGACCTGGGTGCTCTGGGGAAGAAGCTGGAAGATGTCGTAGATCTGCTCGGTGAAACCGCGCTGAGAAATTGTATTAGTACGTAATCAAGAAAAATTGCAGTCTTTTTTATAGCTTACAGAAAGCATCTCGTCGGCCTCGTCAAGAACGAACATCTTCATGGAGTCGGTCTTGAGGAAGCGGCGCTGGATCATGTCGTGGACGCGGCCAGGGGTACCGACAACGACCTGGGGGCCGTCCTGGAGAGCCTTCATGTCGTCACGGACGCTGGTACCACCGATGCAGGCGTGGCACTCAATGTTCATGAAGTCGCCGATGGCGACAACGACCTTCTGGATCTGCTGGGCAAGCTCACGGGTGGGAGCAAGGATGAGGGCCTGGCAAGCCTTGACGTTGGTGTCGATCTTCTGGAGGACAGAGATGGAGAAGGTGGCGGTCTTGCCAGTACCGGACTGAGCCTGAGCAATGACATCGTGGCCTGGGCAAAGCGTGAGCAATGGAGTTCGCAAAACAAATTAGGTATTCAACGTACCCTTAATGACAGGCATGATGGCACGCTGCTGGATGGCGGAGGGACGCTCGAAACCGTAGGCGTAGACACCTGGTGAGGCAAAGTCAGCAACATAGTCCACAGTGAGGGCATTTACGCCCGAAAATTTTGAGCGCGGGAAGACATACCACGAAGGAGCTCCGACTTCAGGTTCATGTCATCGAAGGAGTCGACGGTCTCATCGTAGTTCGACTCGATCTGGCCTGACAGGAGATATTTGTTAGCGACTTGTCGTCTTGAAAAAATAATGCACTAGGCGCTGGGTAGAGGGAGGGGGAGGCGGTCGGTCGGCGACTCGTCGACGTCCTCAGTGTCGAAATACGAAGCCTTGCACAGCCGCGCCCACGTTCTCTCATATGCTGTCGCAAGACTTACCCTCAGGCACATCCTCAAGACCCTTGTCAGCCATGATTGCGGTTGTGTTGTGGAAGAAATCTAGATCACAAGCACAGCTTGGGATCTAGAAATATCGTCGTGAAGGTGGGGTTTGGCGAGGGGTTGGAAAATCGCAAACGTCTCGTTGGAGAGTTTTGCGAAATATGTCGACGAATCGAAGTCTAAGAATTAAAGTCTCAACTAGATCCGATACTCTTGGCGAAACGCAAGAGTAGAACTGAATCTAGGAAAAAAGGGTGCGTTTGGTTTGGTTGTTCGTGGGGTGATGGTGCACGTTGATTGTTCGGGGTGGGAGACGAAGTTTTTATCAGCAGCTGCAGGAATTCTTGACCACGTAAAAAATTTCCTGGCGGCGGGCGGCCCCTCGATTTATGCGGTAAGCGAGGTGGCGCTAAACGGAACAGGCAGGATGGGTGATTAGGGCACACCCGCCGTGCCTTCCTTAGTGAATGAGCGACCACTAGCAGTGCAGCTATGAGAGACTGCTGACAGCGGGACACAGCGCTGGCAAGGCCGGAGATAGCAGGAACGATACAAGGCACAGCAGCCGCACTTGCCTACTAGGTTTTCTTTGCTCTGTCGCCCATCCCATCCCCCTCGAGGGTGCATCGTGGCGGAATGCCTACCAGATTTTCTTCTAGACAATCTTCATGCATTAATTGAGTCACAGAACATGTTTATCGAAGCATGTGTCCGCCACGCACTGCTGCCACCCACACCCGGCTCGTACCACCTGCACCTGCGATGCCACTACGCCCAGTGACATGATTCCTTGTACAGCTATTTTCTCGTCTCATTTTCACACCCTTCTTCTTTGACTTTAGACTGTCAGGTAGATTCTTCAACCTTTTTGCATGTCTGGTTTCTCCAACGTCATCCCCGCCACTGTTTTTTCCCTCCCTTTAGCCAAAAGCAGCACATACACATGTCAATGTCCTTCCAATGACCCAAGGATCCTAGTCACTCGCCTACCTACCACCTTACATGGCAAACGATACCTCATCTGTGCCACACCATGGCACTGTATCCAATGGCCGGACCAACAGCCATGCTGACAACACCAGCCTCGACGACTATGACTCAAAGGCCCTTGAAAATGCGGTCACGTCGACTGAGTCAATTCCAACTCATCCTTTGGGAGTGAAACCGCTGGGCAACCAGTATCTCTCGGACCGTCCGAACGCTCGGAAACACATCGGATATCTGAAAATTTTGCCCGATGAGGCTCTTATGCTCCTTTTGGAGTATCTCGATGAGAATCGTCTTCGAAAGCTAGGCTACACTTCCAGGTTCCTCTACGCATTCTGCCGATCGGATGATTTGTGGAAGACGCTATTCCTTCAGTAAGTCAGCCACTTTGTTGAGTAAAGGAAAATCATGAGATCGGGTGTTATTGGTGTCTAGTGGCAAGCGCTGCGACTTACAGAGTCATCCACACCCCGGTGGTTTTACTCAATCAAAATAAGAGCTGTACTCGACTTGGCATTCCTGGTGACTCTTATCCTAGAAGGATCAGAGAACGTTACCGTGATCACGTATCTTGACTAGTAATTCATTGACTTTACTAACGCAATCTTAGATCTCACAGCTCAGGAAGATTTGAGGGCAAATGGCAAGGATCTTGGAGGGCTACCCAGCTGAAACTCTCGTCTGAGCAACAAGCAGTCATTGATTGCAGTGATGTCTTCTCCGACGTTCTACACAGACCCTTTGTCTGCAGCCATGTAGATTTGAAGCAGTTCACCTCAAGGATACCAACTCACAACACGATTCAGCGCATGGAAACCCTGACCTATGAGGAGTTTTCTGAAAACTGGACCGATACCCCTTTCGTTCTCACCAACTACATCCAGAAGTGGCCCGTTTGCCACGGATGGACTATTGATACCATATCGAAACGCTACCACGATGTAGAGTTCCGCGCAGAGGCTGTTGACTGGCCCTTTTCGACATATAACGAGTACATGAACAACAACGATGACGAGAGCCCTCTTTATCTATTCGACAAGAAATTTGCCGAAAAGATGAAGATTACGATTGGCCAAGAGGAGGGGGCAGCTTATTGGAAGCCGGAGTGCTTTGGTCCGGATTTATTCGAGCTTCTGGGAAAGGAACGGCCTGCCCATCGCTGGCTCATCATCGGGCCTGAACGGAGCGGATCAACTTTTCATAAGGACCCCAACGGGACAAGTGCATGGAACGCGGTGATCCAAGGTGCGAAATATTGGATCATGTTTCCACCCGCGGCTATGGTCCCCGGAGTGATTGTCTCGGAGGACAGCAGCGAGGTTACCAGCCCCTTGAGCATCGCAGAATGGCTTCTCGAGTTTCATGCTGAAGCACGTCGGTCACCCGACTGCGTCGAGGGTATCTGCCAAGAGGGGGAAATCCTACACGTGCCTAGTGGATGGTGGCATTTAGTGGTCAATTTGGAAAGCGGAATCGCCTTGACCCAGAACTTCGTGCCGAAGAACCAGCTCTCCGAAGTCATATCATTCTTAAGGGACAAGCCAGACCAGGTTTCTGGCTTCAAGCAAGAGGTAGCTGATCCATACGTATTGTTCATTGAGCGACTCCGCCAGGAACAGCCAGATTTATTAGAACAGGCCCTTCGGATTCTGGAGAAGAAGAGCATCCAGAAAAAGAGGAAGTGGGAGGAAGCAGTAGGCGGAAGCCAGGCAGAGGCCAACGGAGGTGGCTTCAGCTTCGGATTCGGGGATGACCTGGATGATGAAGAAATCCCTTAAGCTGCCTATTGTACATGGCAATACGGCGTACTAGAGCAAGGATTTGTTCGATACTGGGCGGCAGAGACCCTTCGTCGTGTTTGTCTTTCGAGTACATCACTCATTGTTTTCAAAGACATGGCTGATTTATCGTGGACGAAGCAGAGCCACCCTTGTATCTTCATCTCCTGGCTGCAGCTTTGTCCGACACACCTCGTAGGTAGCCCTCAGCCGAATGGGATTTGGAAACAGAGTACAAAAATGGCTCCTTGGTTGAACCTTGCTCGGGTGTCATCAAAGTCAGCTCACTCACTAAGACGGAGCGACTTGAGTCAGAATAGTACAAAGGGCGTATTGTGGTCGGCAAGGGCAGAGCTGAACAGAGGATCGGCTTCAATGAAAGCACCGAAGAAACGAGAATCTGTCTTTCAATCTTGTTCCGCTACCGAGTACCTCGCCGCTTAGCATCTAACATTGGAAAGACAGCATTACCATGTTCCCTTTCCAGTCTAAAACGTATTCGAGTAATTCCTCAAAAGCAAGAAGAACCCACAACATATAGCATACCAAGATGTTGGATTTCTTTCCAGGGTGCAGGTATAGATAGCTTCATACTTCAGATATCGGGTCTCACGCCATGACCCGCTTCAAGCTGTCGCTGAAGTCAGAACCCTGGGCATTCTTGAATTCGAACAGTTTAGATGAAAATGTCACTGCCCAGGATAGGAGGGTGTCTACCGAACTTGAGGTAAGGCGAGGTACCAAGCAAGGTACGTACATCATTTTCCCCACCCCGTTGTGGTCGTCCCTGAGGACTCCCATCAGTGGATCACTGGGTGGGCAATTGGGAGGTGTGCTTCTTGGGGGTACGTCCCGGTTACCTATCCTAGCGTGCCTCGAGATTGGCTCCTTTCCGGTACGTGCCCGCTAAGCGTGAGTCCACTGACACCGGGTCCCAGTTCCCCGACCCCCAAAGAGCTGTTGGCCAGCTGGTGGGTGGTGTGCATCATCCCTTCCTACCTACCTTTCTAGACTCTCTCTCACCTTGCCTCAACCTGTTTCCTTGCATCCACAGGAGCGGTGCAGCAGCAGCGCAGGAAGCACGCACGCACCAGTACCCGACCGCAACTCACCTTACCTCTGCCGCCCTCAAGTGGCCCCGTCCTCAGCTGAAGGGGAACGACGACGTGCACCTGGCTGCATTTCCGCCATCCAAACCACCATCTCCAAATCTCCCATTTTCCTCCCGTCGTGTCTCGCTTCTACATTAGCCTTTCAACGGCTGGCAACAAAGGCTCAGTTTGCGAGCAACCCAAGCCCACCTAAAAGGGGAAGCCTCTTTTCTTTCGCGTACTTTATGCCCGTAATACCGACCGCTTCATTCAACAGCAAGCTCGAGACGATCCCCCCTCTGCCCCTGGCTCCGAAACCATGTGACGGAACCATCGACTCCCGCCCACCAACTTCGCTCCCATCGCCAACTCGCTCGCTTTTCTTCGATTACTCTTTCAAGTAAACACGAGACTTCAGCGCGTCCTGCTTCTAGTAGTTCTGACTTTGCGCTGGCGGACAGAACTCGTCTACCCTCAAACACAACCCCCCACGGCCATCCGCGAAGGCTGACATCCGACGTCAACTCCTACCTAAACCCTGCCTGACGCCGCTGCAACCGCTGCTTTTGCATTCCCGCCGTCAGCCTTACGTAGTAGTTGCTCCGCTTCAACCCAAGACCGAATACCATCTATAGACGCGCCGTTACGGTCTCGGCTCTAACCGTTACATACGCACGCAATACATTACTTTTGACGCACCTTTGCTGCCTCTATCTGCTATACCCAGGCCCGCGTCTTGGCCTCCAACAGCGCAAACATGGTTTCCGACGAGCATTACGAGATCTGTCTACCGATTCTCCAGGATGTCACCCTCGAGGATGAAGACAAGACGGACAAGCTAGAAGATCTCCTGCGAAACCAGACGACTCTGAATGGCTCCTCACTAGATAATGCGATCCTGGATGTCCTATGGCGATACCGTGATGGAGGTGGACTGGCGGCCTCCCCTCCTCCTATCCGCCAGACTATCTTGCGGCGACCATCACCTGCATCATGGCGCGGCAATGCCACTCCTCTGTCTGGCTCGCCCAGACTTGGGGTCAGTCCTTTGGCCCCTCCAGGCTTTGTTCCGTCCTTTACTCCATCTTTCACGAGAACGAAATCGTCTGCGGCCTCTCCCTTCTCCTCTCCGAGGCCCTCTCCGAGACTCGCATTTGCGACACCCGCCATACCCAATAGCCCGAACTTGAACGCATACGAGTTCGCCAACGACAAATCACCTTCTCATGAAACTTTTGGCGACTATCAAACGGAAAACGTGGAGTGGCTTGTCGCCGATGATGCTATCAGCGTTACATCATCTGTCGGAACCTCAAGTGGCCTGAACGCTGCTGCACCCGAGTTTTCCTCCATGTCGTCACAGCAAGCTGACATGTCTCCATATGACATGTTGCGTTCAATACTCGGCCGGACGCGAACTGATGAGGAGATTGAAGCAGCTCTTGCCCTCCATGGCTACGACCTAAGCGCGACGATTGCATCAATCATGGAAAGTCAGGCGCAAGAGAACGGATATAGCAGCTCGCAGCCTGACGACAATAAGGTGTCTCTGATAGGAAAGGCGCTTGCTGCAGAAGGACGGCCCAGTACCCCAGCTGGACAAAGGTCGGGCGTTATCTGCAAATTCTACATGTCCACGGGACAATGTTTAAGGGCAGATTGCAGGTTCAGTCATGACTTGAGCAATCATTTGTGCAAGTAAGTATATCCTACTCCAGCTTTAAGTACAATTTCAGCTAACATGACTACCAAGATACTGGGTAATGGGCAATTGTCTAGCTGGCGAAACTTGCATATTCTCCCATGACCCAGCACATCTAATGAACAAGCTGGCGCTGGACGGGGCCAGTACTCCGCCAACAAGGCAGGCCAACTTGTCCGATCTGAATCTGTTCCCAGCACTTCCACCCGGCACGCCTGATCACATTGGCAGTTATAGCGGAAGCCCAGGTGTTACAATCGGGCTTACGCCCCCACCCGGCCTGAAGCCGTTCTACGCGAGCGACAGCCCTCGGTCTAGATCTCGTCCAGGAAGCCGACACCAGCAAGCGAGGGAACTTGTGGCTCCGTCGCTGGACGATGCAGATGCATTCCCTACTCTAGGCTCTGCTGCAGCGAAGCAAGGCAAGAAACACCACGGGAAAAGGGGTGGACACGGCCACAATCATAAGGAAAATTACGCACCAAACTCCCTTGCTGAAATCGTCAAAATGTCGCCATCTCCAGGGCCAGCTTTGCTCCGTCAAGATATAAAAAAGATTGGACGAAATGGGAGCTCAACCAATATCCGGAACGGGGAAAACAGCGCGGCAGCACAGGCGATCCAGAATCCGAAACACATTCCGTGGTTAGAAACCGGCGAAAGAGCCAACAAGGCCTACCTCAAAGCTCGACAAGAAGCTATTAAGCACGGCGGTCTCAGGAATAAGTTCCTCCAGAGGTAAGAGCAGCAATTTTTGAAAGATACTGCGCCAAACTAACCACTAAACTAGCGCTGCTCAAGCATGGAACCGGAACGATGCTAGGGCTGCCAAAGCTCTGAGTCTGCGAGGCCAGAGCGAGAATGACTTGATGCGGAAGGCACATCGAGAAGCAGCGCGCGAGCTCTATGAGGAACGCAACAGAGGCATTGCGAACAGTTCCGAGATATATGTAGACTTGCATGGACTTCACCCTGAGGAAGCCGTGGAATACCTTGAGCGGGTTCTAATGGAGAACGGCAAGGAGACTCGACCGATTTACGCCATTACCGGTACTGGTCATCACAGTAAGAACGGCAAGGACAAGGTCGGCAAGGCGATTCGTAACTTCTTGAACGAGTGGAGGTACGCCTACCGCGAATTCTCCGTCCCTGGAGATCGCAACAATATGGGTGGCATCTTGGGCATTGATGCTCGAAGCTACGACAAGTCGTTGGCGCGTGAAGGAACGTCGAGTGCAGACGACAGTAAAGAGGAGGTTGATATCTTGAGTCAGGGTGTGGAGATTGGGGACGGCAAAGTCAGGATGCTTGTTAGGGATCCTCCGAAGGGGCCTAGTGGACGGCGATAACAACCGGCTACCTAGAAGTGATGAAAAGACAATAAAGTAGAAAGAACCGCAAGTAGAAAATGTCAACAAGACGCTCCAGGAAGCGAACTCCTCTATCAGAATTATCTCAAGGCCCTAGCGCGTAAAGTGATGCATTATTGCTGATGACGACGGTGGAAGTAGAGCCGCGTCTAGGTAAGATCGGGCGGGTATCCGTACCTTACGGTAGGTTGAGTTCATGCAGGGAAGAAGCACTTTGAGCTTTCCAGCTCGAGTGGAGCCCCCACCGAGGTTGGAGAGCGCCGGACACTGGGCCGGTCAGTCGGCAGGCAGACCGACGTGGACGGGATGCACAGCGGCTGCCATTTTGGGACGTGCGAGTGCCTTATGCATCGAACCCCCTGTATGCCATGCAATTGAAACCGTCCGCAGGAAACATGAGACATTCTCATTGCGTTTTCCCATGAAACGGGCTCTTTAGGTAATGCTCTGTAAACGTCGTCATCAGGAACGGTAGCAAGCCTTGGTGTTCCAACTCTGAGTTTCTTTTCTGCGCAAGTTCACGTATTTTGGTTTCCTACCACGGCCCTTCTATACGTGTAACCGTACATTCTGGGGCAACTAAAATAAGGTACGTCGTACTAGGGCATTTCCAACGACCCTGGAGAACCCCGGTTATTTTTGGCAAGGTAGCAGCCCGCCCGCATTGACGGGCCCGGCGATCCATGGAAGTTAACCGCGGACCTTGCGTAACGCATGTCTCTAGGTGTGGCTTGGGGCACTCTGGTTAGGCAGCTTACCTCATCGCGGTGGGTGAGTGAGGTCAGCTCCTTCAACATTGCGACGCATTCTCCTCCCTCATCACTATTCTCTGTGTTCCATTTCTGTACTTCCATCAAAGATTATCCCATTTTGTCGAAATGGCCTCGGAAACTTTTGAGTGAACCAGTTATAATTCTAACTGCGAAAGAGACGAAATTACGGTAAACGAGCGTGCAATCCACTGGTCGAAGCCCCACGAATAGCTTCCTGTATCCGGAGCCTCCGGGCCCCAAAAAGCCACCACGCTTCCATTTGTCTTTGCCTCCTCCGATCCCCGATCGACTACCCACGATGCCGGCCGACTACGAATCAGCAGCGAGGGCGCTTTCCCTCTCGCCGAATCCCCCGTCCTCTCCCTCCGAAGCCCACGCTGACGTTCGCCCGCCATGGATCCGCAACATCGGCGGTAACTCGTCCTCCTCGAGAACGACAACCACCCGCCGCATGTCCGCGGCACGCTTCGGCCGCGGGGGCCAATCCAGCTCCAGGCGCACCACGGCGCTATCGGGCGTGAACCGCGCGGTGCGCTCCGCCGTCAAGGCCGGCAACCGCCTCTGGAGCATGTACCTCGGCCTCAGCCCCGTCCAGCGCGTGGCCGTCGCCGCGTTCCTCCTCGTCGTCAACGTCCTGGGTCTTCTGTTCCTCATCTACTCGCACGCAATCTTCAAGTGGCTGGCGCCCGTGTCCCAGAAATGGCGCGCGCTGCCGTTCGGCTGGCTCATCATTTGGGCCTTCACCTTCATGACGGCCTTCCCGCCCATGATTGGCTACAGCACCGCCATCTCGGTCTCAGGCTTCGTCTACGGGTTTCCACTGGGATACCCCATCGTCGCGACGGCCACGGTCGCGGGCAGCTTGACGGCTTTCTACACGAGCAGGGGCATCTTCAGCGGTTACGTGCACAAGCTCGTCGGGCAGGATCACCGGTTCATCGCGCTAGGCCAGGTGCTGAGGAAGGACGGGATCGGCATGTTGACGGCGGTGCGCTTTTGTCCGCTGCCGTATAGCTTGTCCAACGGGTTCCTGTCCACGATCCCTTCCATCAAGCCTTGGATGTTCGCCGTCTCAACGGCCCTTGCCAGGTGAGCACGGCAGGGACACCTAATTGTGTCCTCGCTTCACATCCCCAAGTTCTAGCACAACTAACAGAGGATCCCGAATAGTCCAAAGCTTCTCGTCCACGTCTTCATCGGCAGCCGCCTCGCCCTCATTGCCGAAAAGGGAGACGAGATGACGGCCGGCGGCAAAGCCATCAACTACATCTCCATGATCCTCGGTGGCCTCGTCGGCCTAGTCGTCGGCTGGCT